CCCGTCAGCCCCTTTATCTCCCAGCTCCCTGTTTCCCTGATCCCGGGGTCCTGGTGCCCCAAGAAGGGGGTCAGTGCCAGTCCTGCGTTCAGCCAAGGGGCTGGAGTGGGAACAGGGACAACTGTGGTCAGACATGCCGGGTTTGGGGCTGGGTTGAGCTCTGGGGTGTCCCAGAGGGAAAGCTCTGGCAAGGGATGGGCAGGAGGACATGGGAGGATCAGGCTTTGGGGGCTGTTGGAGGATGGATTGTGTTGTTGTGGGATTGTCCCCACAGGGTATGCAGCTGCTTTCAGCTCCCAGCCCACCCCCTTGGCATCCCCAGGTGCCTGGGCCCTTTCAGGGGCAGTTGCCCCGTGCAGGAAGCTGGAGGGATGCCGGGGAAGGTGGTTGGGTCAGTGCCACAGGCAAGATGGACTCTGTGCCAGGGCTGGGCTTGTGGCCAGGGCTGGGGGCTGTGCCCAGCCTGGCTTTGCCCCGGGGGCTCTCGGGGAGGGGGCAGGGAGGAGTCCCGGCAGGGATAAATGTGCTCCTGCCCTTGTGCAGCCTCAGCCAGCGCTGCCCAGGCCCAGAGGAAGATGAAGGTCGCTGTGCTCAGCGTGGCCCTGCTCTTCACCATCCTGCTGAGCCCCCCGGCAGATGCCAAGGTGAGGCCCTGATGCCATGGTCATGGGCTCAGGGATGGGCCCCTTCCCAATCCAGGGGCTCCCCAAGCAATCCTCAGCACCCCCAGCCCCGGGCCAGGCCACATCCCATCCTCTTGGTCCCCTGGGGCATCTCCCCACCATCTCCTCTCTTTCCCAGCCAAGGAAAAGGCCCAACCCAAACTGGGTGGAACTGGTCCAAGCCCCACTGGAGTCCAAGGAGGACAAAAAGGCCCAAGCTCCACAGTGGGCTCAAGTGGGACAAGGCCTGGCCAGGTTGAGGTGGCACCAACTGGGAAATGCCCTGCCATGGCCCATTCCCAGGACCTGTCCTCCAGGCTTTGCCCTCAATGCCTTGTCTTTCCCCCTGCACTGGTGTCCCCAACTTGCCTGGGAGCCACAATCCCAAAGAGCCCCGCTCAGCCCGAGGAGCAGCCGGGGCTGGACGGGGTGGGGACACCTGTGTCCCCCCCAGCCCCACAAGGCCAACCCCAACCAAGCCTTTGCTCTCCTCCTGCAGCCCTTTTTTGCCAGCGGCGAAGCCTGCGGGGGGGTAAGTCTGGGAGCTGGGGGTCACCCAGTGTGGGAACTGGGGGGCACTTTGGGTCCCCCATCCCTTCCTGGCACTGGGGACACCCCCGTGACCATTGACGTCTCCTTGTCTCTCTACAGGCAATCTTGACCATTGTGAGTATTAGGGCTTGTGCTGGGCCCAGACCCTCCCCTCTGGTGGCCACCACCCTCCAGGGCATCCCAGTGCTCCCCAGTCCACCCCAGTGGGCACCGGGGAGACCCCTTCCTCAGGGCCCCCACTCTATTCCCACACACCCCAGTCCACCCCACCACACACACAGGCCATCATTCCCACACCATTTCTTCCCTTCTTTCTCCTCTAATCCTTCCCCTTTCCCATTCTCCATGACATTCATGTTCAGAAATCCCCTTCCTTGACCCCTCAGTCCCAAACTCCCTTCCAGTCCCTTCCAGTTTTCTCCCCTTCCCCATTTCTCCTGTCCCCACCCCTGCCCTGCTTCATTCCCTGTTTCCCCTCCACTGGAATCCCTTACTCCTCACCCACATCCCCCACAGTCCCATCCCTTCCACACCCCAATGTCCATCCTGTGGGCTCCCCAATTCCCCCCACTTCACCCTCTTTGGGTCCCCTTCTCCTCCCCCCACCCTCCCTGCAGGCCCTGAATTCCCCTGGCTCTCCTTGTCTCCATCCCCACCCTGGTGCCTGCAGGAACAGGGATCCCGGGGGAAACTGGGTGAAGTGGGGCTGAGGGAGCAGAAGGGATTTTCCCCCTCAGATCGGGGCCAACCATGGGCTGGGGGGTCTGGGGACACCCGTGTCCCTCCCCCAGCCCCACAGGGGCCAATCCTGCTTAAACCTTTGCTCTCCTTCCCCAGCCACTCAAGGATATAACAGGAGGTGGATGTATTGGGGTAAGTCCTGGACTTGGGATGCCCCAAGTGTTGGAAATTGGGGAAAATGTAGTCTCCCCATCTGTCCTGGTCCTTGGGACACCCCAGTGACGAGTGACACCTCACACTCTCTCTACAGGGAATCTTAAATATCCATCGAGTGAAGAGGTCTGAGGTGGGTACCCCGAGTTCTGCTGGGCCCAGACCCTCCCCTCTCATGGCCATGACCCTCCCCAACATCCCAGTGTGTCCCAGTCCATCCCAGTGTGTCCCAGTCCATCCCAGTGTGTCCCAGTACAGCCCAGTGTGTCCCAGTAGATCCCAGTGTGTCTCTAACCGTGCTTTTGTCCCCAGTCCCCCATAGTTGACCTGGTGGAGCTGTTGCGCGAATGACACTCGACTGCCTCTCTGCATGTCCAGGTGAGAAATATCAGAGGGTCCTCAGCCCCCCAAAGGAACCTGGCAGGGCCCTGGGGGGTC